TCCTCTGACTTAAGTCCTATTTACTTGATCGAAGTTTTATGGTTGATGTAAGAGGGGTGAGGTCAAGCGTAAGAACTGCTCGCGCTGGAGTTTCAAAGAGGAGTGTCATGGGTCCCGTGTTGTACAACCTGTTCGCTTCAGATCTGCCACGTCTAAATCAACCAAACGCACTCTTGGCCACCTACGCCGATGACGCAACAATTCTTGTGCACAAGCACGAAGCATTAAGAATCACCCAGGAATTTCTGGACTTATACGGCAAGTGGACTACAGGTGGAACATGGAAGGAAGGAATGGAAGGAAGTCACAGCTCTGCAGTTTTAGTTGGTGCAGTCCCTTCCTGTAAGTTAGAAATTTTTGGGGTATTTGCATAAAAAATATCAATATAAAGGCTTTCTCCCTCCTAGGTTGGTATAAGAGCTTATACTTATTGCGATCGTTGTAATCGTCGCTTATAGCAATCGTTCCTTAAATTGGTTTGAGGGTTGTCGGGTCTTTTGTATGTCATTCTCAAAACTACTTTCTGCTGAATTCCCAGTATTTTGATCTGAATTCTATTCATTGCTTTAAGTTGGGTTGTTGATTTGTATTCTTGATAAAGCATAAGCAACAACGTTTGTAGCATCTGGCTTATAGATAATTTTGGGTGAATAACTTTTGATGAAAGAGTACCAATCATTCATTTCAATATTCGGAATTTGAATATATAAATAATTTCAAAATTAAAAGCGAACTATGGCTAATAATTCCTTCCTATTGGTTACCTATAAGTGTTCGGCCTTGGTTGGTGCTGCTATTGAAACTCGACACAGGTTTTTATCCGGACACGCTCACTTCAACACCCACAAGCCGCAGAAAACTGTGGCGTCCATAATATTATAATGTATGTTTTCGATTGACTTCGTATAACATATTTTTGACAATATCTATCGATATCGCAATAATTTTTTAAATCGAATCTTTATATCGCCATTTATGAAGAAATGTAGGTTACAAGGCCTCACATGGGCAGTGACGTCTCAACATGCCCTCTATGACAAAATTGTGTAAAATAGTAACGGGTATCTTATAGGTATATATTTTTGATCAGTATCAATTGCGAAGTCGATTAAGCAATGTCCGTCTGCCCGTCCGTCCGTCCATATGAACGCTGAGATCTCAGGAACTATAAGAGATGGAAACTTGAGATCAAACGTGAAGATTATTGAGATCCCTACAAAGCGCAAGTTTGGTTAAGCATCCTGCCAAAATAAAAAAAAACTAAAATCGCTGAAATCTCAGGAACTATTAGGAAATATTAGAACTATTATTGGGATGGGAGCGCATCTTATGGTGGTACCATTATACGGCCACACCCAATCTTACGCCCACCAATCTCTTTCGCATTTTGTGCTAGTGCGTAAAATGAACGTGGCCAGAGGATACAAAAATTAATACGCTCAACAGGAATCTTTAAAATATGCATGTTTAATTGCAACTTTGTCTTCCTATAGCTTAGAACGTTCATACTGATTTTGAAAAGTATCCTGATAAGATTCGATTCTTACATTTTTTTTTTTTTTTTTTACTTTGCTATTTATTTTATTGAATCTTCTCCCTTTGGAGACAAACAATAAGTGTATCAAATCTTAAAAAGAGTTTTTCATTGTAGGACGCTTTTTGTTTGTCTATTTCATCTTGTACGGTAAGAATGCCTAGGTCCCTGTGGATGTTTAGATTGCGAATATACCATGGTGCCCCAGTGATAATTCGGAGGGTTTTTGACTGGACGCGCTGTATAATGTCTATATTCGTTCTGCTGTCGTTCCCCCATAGCTGGGAGCCATATGTCCAGATGGGCTTGAGGGTAGAGTTGTAGAGCAAGACCTTGTATTCCAGACGCAGGGGTGAACGGGCGTTAAGAATCCAGTGGAGGCTGTTGGCTTTCAGTTTTAGGTGTTCTTTTTTGCATTGGATGTGTCTTCTCCAGGTTAGTCGTCTGTCAAGTTGGACGCCGAGGTACGTTACATCGTTAACTTGAGGAATCTGCGTGTTATATAATGATAGTGGAGGGCAAGTTTGTCTGTTGAGGGTAAACGTTATGTGTTTACATTTTTGTTCATTTATTTTAATCCGCCAATCAGATAGCCACCTCTCTACAACGAGCAGGTGATTTGCTAGCTGTATGGTGGCTCTGCCTGGGCATGCCGAGCGACTTAGAATTGCGGTGTCGTCAGCGAACGTAGATGTTGTTAGCTGCTCATTCGTGGGAATATCCGATGTGTATAGGAGGAACAGAGTGGGCCCTATCGCGCTTCCTTGCGGGACTCCAGCTTTTATAATGTAGTCTCCGGATGTTGCTGTGTTGCACCTTACTGCGAAGGTTCTGTTGTATAAATACGACTCAAGAAGCTTATGAGTGTATCCAGGCAAGTGTGTTTTAATTTTGAGCATGAGACCATCTAGCCATACTCTATCAAAGGCTTGACATACGTCGAGGAATATTGCGCTGCAGTATTCCCGATGCTGAAAGGCTGTGCGAATTTTTGATGTTATTCTGTTTACTTGTTCGATTGTTCCATGATTTTGGCGGAAGCCAAATTGATGGGCAGGGATAACATTGTGTGCTTCTAGATATGGTATTATGTGGGTTAGAAGACATTTTTCGAACAACTTAGACAAACACGATAATAGACTGATTGGTCTGTAGGATGACGAAATTGTACGATCTTTTCCGGGATTCGGTATCATGATGACAATAGATTTTTTCCATTGCCGAGTGTCATGATTCTTACTTTGAAATAATGTTTGTAGTAGCCTTTAAACTAGTTGTCAAAGTTGTCAAGATTTATCGAACAGTATTGACAGCGAAGCCAACGGTCAATTTCACAGAATTTCAAGGATTAGATAAATCTTTCGGTTGCCGGCGATAACCGTCAACTTCTTTTTCATTCATGTTAGCAGGAACTAGGCCTATTATTGCTCGCGATGGGAAATGATTAAGAGTTCTTAACTTGATTTTTTGGTTAAAAATCTGTGACTAAATTTTTTTGAAAAAGCCTTGCTGACACTAAATAAAAGATCATAAACTAAAAGATCCAAATGATTGTATTTGTTGAGACACTCACGGTCTAGGGAGTTTACACTTACCTAGTGTCAAATTTCAAATAAACTTGTTATTCAAATTGTACTGTTACCGCGGCTGTGCAACCTTGTCAGCCTCGAAACAGTCCCCACCTCGTGGTTCTTCTGCGTGGCTATGTTGAGCATTGTCAATTCTCTTGATGCCCAAGACCATCAAAGTATTACAGCGCTGCGTTGGTACGCATGGTCCTTCGCACGATGCACATCTACGAGCATCCCCTTTGTCCATGAATTCCGCTTGCTCTCCTCGTCGACGATAGGATCTCCGTCATACACTGATATTTGAGCTGGGTTCTGTTGAACTTAGTACGTCAGGGTGGGCAAATATCCTGGAATCAATTTTTTCTATAATCTATCTGCCAGCTGACCAGCGATTCGGAAATTGGTGGCTAGACCCATTCCGTTACATTTCATTGAGCCGCGTTCACGTAGACCACTATTGATGCCAACCAAGAAGTAATTCGGTGTTATTGCTTCCGAAATTTCAGATTGCAATGGAATATATGTGATCTGGAATTTATAGTAGATAGAAAATAGATATTTCAATAATCAACACTTGGCGTTTGATGTGCGTGGCGGATGATGACCTTTGATGTAACTCAAGCTTGATAACATACCTAAATCGAATAGAACCTTGGCAAATGGGGTTTGGTGTGCGTGTCGGATGATGACCTTTGCAGTAAATCAAGCTTGATAACGTATCCGAATCGAAAAGACACCACATTCCCAAAACCTTTTCCTGTAGTTCCTCTTGTGCGCCAAGATATTTGGATGGCATTTCATAAAAGTAATTTAGGGATTGGATACCGATAACCTGTTTCTCATTTCGAAACCTCCGTGCGCTTGAATGCCCTTAACGATGCTTTCTAGTTGAACCATTTAATCACCCTGTCAACTGACTCGAAACAATCGTCAACAAAGGTCATTCGGCAAATCGACTTTACTGCTTTAAGATGGATTTCTAGAGGTGGAGAAATATCGATGTTCACGGACATCGATGTTTTCGATGCATCGATGAAACATCGATGTTTTAAATAAAAAAAAAGTGTGCAGTTATTTTAATGTATTTGAACTTTATTTTAATTTGTAATGTTTAAAAATTAAAAGTCAAATTTTCAACAAAAAATATCCAATTTATTAATCACTTATTAAATAAAAACGAAAAGAAAAACAAATTAAAATAAAAATTTTCATGATATTCATGTTCTACTTCTTTGGTATATTGTCATATTCTTAGTTTGTAAATAATAACAAATAAAAACAAATTTTATATCAATGTTTCAATATATACATGGTCCAAAAGAAAATAATAGTTCTTTTGGATATTGTGATATTCCTACTAAACTTACTATTCCGAACTCTACTATATATGTATATTTACATATTATTTACATCTTTGTTTTTGTTTAAAGAGGAGCTTAGAGGAGCTTATCGACAGCGGCCGATGATAGCCGCGTCCGACGTTCACTTATAAGTTGTCCAGCTTTACTGAAAACTCTTTCAGATTCGCACGAAAATTTCCTCCGGAAAACATCGATGTTTCCGATGTTTTGAAAACATCGATGTTTCCGATGTTTTGAAAACATCGATGTCATCGATGTTTGAATCGATGTTTCTCCACCTCTAAAAGGCAGTGCCAGCCTTAGTAATAATGGTCACACTATAATAATTGTTGAACAAATCTTCAAAGGTTTAAATTAAGGCGCATCATAATTGTATCTATATATGTACATACACACATTATTATAAAAAATTTTAAATACGTTCAACACTACACTCGCCATTGCTAAAACATTTTAATATGTTCAAAACTCAATTAAAACCTACAATAAAAATTACCGGAATACCCTATATATTTACATACATATATATGTGTTTATAAGTGATATACAACATTAATATTCAGTAACGCTGTCATCGGTCTACAGAGCTGCCGATGATAAATAAAATTAATTAATCTTTAATTATTAATGAAACGCAATTTTATTTACAGGCTGAGGGCCCTCTCGCGATCTGGCATTTGCAGTAGCTCTAGCACTTGTCCACTAAAAAGCAAATTCTGTTTACAATACCCCAATTTAAAAGTGCTGCCACGATGCCTTGCTGGTACTACGACAAAAAAGAGCTGCGTGAGACGCCCTCGATCCTGGACGGAATTAGTTTTGAGACAGAGCGCCGGTACCGAAAGGAGGGCGCTCGCTTTATTATGGAATGTGGCACCAAAATGGGTTTAGGCCACAATACGATGGCAACCGGGGTGGTGTACTTTCACCGCTTCTACATGTTCCATTCGTTCCGCAGCTTTCCTCGTTACGTGACTGCTTGTTGCTGCCTTTTTTTTGCTGGAAAGGTAGAAGAGACTCCCAAGAAGTGCCGTGACATTATCAAAACGGCTCGTGGTATTCTTAACGACAACTATTTTTACTCGTTTGGCGAGGACCCCAAAGAGGAGGTTATGACGTTGGAGCGCATTCTACTGCAGACTATTAAATTCGACTTACAGGTTGAACATCCTTACACCTTCCTCCTAAAATACGCAAAATGTTTTAAGGGTGACCAGCAAAAGCTGCAGAAAATGGTTCAAATGGCGTGGAACTTCGTCAACGACTCTCTCAGTACTGTTGTCTGTCTTCAGTGGGAACCGGAAATCATCGCCGTGTCTCTTATCCATTTAGCTAGCAAGCTAAGTAAATTCTCTGTGCAGGACTGGGAAGGACGCCGGCCACAACACCAGCGCTGGTGGGACATGTTTGTCTCGGACGTGACAATGGAGATACTTGAGGACATCTGCCACCAGGTATTAGACCTTTATCAGTCCACTCAAAAGGAAGAGCATCATTCAGATAGTCCGCCCCAAAAGCCTCCCAGCCGAGCAGATAGCCCAACAGCGGTTAAGTCAACAACTCTTTCGTGCATTGCTCCATCCTCTGTTAAACAACAACAGCCGCCACCCCCATCGCTATCAGGTGGAAAAGATAGTTTGCTGGAGCCTAACAACATCCAAAGCATCAAGTCACTGGCTAGTGGTATGCTTGTCGTGGGTTCCGGCGACTCTCAGACGCTTCCGCAAGGTCCAACCCTTCCTGGTCAGCCTTCTGGGTACAACCTTTATCATCCACCGCCACCGCCGCCCCCCTGTCGTGCCTATGGTGTCCTACCCCTCTTCAACCTGGAGCATCCAACAGACGGTACCAATTCACTATGCCGGCTGTGCGGCACCACCACCACCAATGCCGCCGAGCCTACCGACCGGCCCCAGTGGTTACTACAACATTGGAGGACGACAACAGCAGCGGTATCAATAAAAGAACATGTATTGACTATTCCCAGATTTATAAATAAATAATATAAGCTTAATTGATATTACCTTACCTTCTAGGCTTAGATAATAGTGCCATGTTACTTGGCTACACATGCAGTGACTCAATTCTAATACTGTCTTCTCCAATTTTAACATAATCATATTTCGCCAGCATATATTTACACAGTGAATAATTTTGTCCCTATCCCTTATAGTTACCGAGATCTCAGCGTTCCTACAAAAAGTGGAAACCGTTTTTCGAGCTTGGTGGGCGTAAGAGTTGGCGTGGCCGTATAATAGCACCGTCTTAGGATGCGTTGCCCAGCGTTCGGAAAAACTTCGCTACTCCCGTAGTTTTTCGTTTTTCTGAAAAAAAAACAATTATTTTGTGGTGGAACAAAAACTTTTTTGAGCATAAAATACGACTTAGTTTAGTATTTCTTTCTATAACTTTCTTTAGAAATCATTTTTTGGTTTGTTTTTTTATATTAGTATACAAAATAAGCATCTTTCCCCATTTTGAAATCGAAAACAACCGCAACGAATACTTTATTGAATATGTCGTAGAATGGTAAATTAGCTAACTGTATAAGTGTGGCAAAGAATGGTTAGTTTGACCATTCTGCAGGCATCTACCTTTTTGAGCGGGAATTCGCACAGCAGTTCAGAAAAAGAGATATGTATGTATACTCAGCTGCTGAGTAAGGTCGGTTCGTAGTGGCGTAGAAAAAGGATGACATTATGATTTGCCAAAATTGTGAATAAGCTTAGAGTATGCGTGGCGAGATCAGTTATCGTTGAGCCACCGGGACGAACAGAACTTGCTGCGTATTAAAAATGGAAAGAAATCAGCCATCTCCGACAAATATGTACATGTATCTGAACAAAAAAAATGCTCCGATTTAAAAAATCTTTAGCAAATCGATATATATTAACAAAAATAAGTTATACAAGAACAAACGAAGTCATTCATAATAATATTTTAGACGCCACAGTTTTTCGCGGTTTGTGGGCGTAAGAATGGGCGTGGCGAGAGGAAAACTCGTGACAAGTTGCAGTGGAATCTCTTTAATACGTGTTTTTAAGCCTAATTTTCTAGCTCTTATAGGTCCCGAGATTTTTGCATTTTTGGTTTTCCAAAATGGTTTTGTGGGCGTGGCTAGATGGGAAAAAATTAATTTGCATTTGGGCCATCATAAAAACCTACAGACTTTCTGTCTCTTAAAGTTACTCAGATATCAGGTTTTTCAGAAAATACAAAAACCGTCTTTTGGGCGTATGGGTCGGTGTGGCCGAATAGTAGTACCACTGTGAGATGCGCTGGCATCTAAAGATTATACATTCTGAATTTCAACTTTCTAGCTCTAATAGTTCCTGAGATTTCAGCGATTTCAGTTTTTCTCGATTTGTGGGCGTTAGGGTGGACGTGGCAGGATGCTGAAATAAACTTGCGCTGTCCCGGGACCTCAAGAATCTTCATGCTCCCAACGTTATATCTCTTATAGTTCCTGAGATCTCAGCGTTCATACGGACGGACGGACGGACATGGCTGAATCGACTTCGCTATTGATCCTGATCAAGAATATATATACTTTATAGGGTCGGAAATGCTTTCTTCTATGTGTTACATACTTTTCAACGAATCTAGTATACCCTTTTACTCTACAAGTAACGGGTATAAAAATAATCATGACAACCCCTTATTATGCTAAAATATTTATAAATAAATTTACTATCACAAATTTTCGCCTTGACTAGAGACAAATATTAACAAAACTAGGTATATAGGTACATATCATTTTTATTTACTGACTATTCTGTTGGACATTATAAACTAAATAGATTATAAAATTATAACATATTTAGATTTGAACAATGTTAAGGAATTTGATATTGTCAAAAAAAATAGTTGAGGCAAGAAAAACAAACTTTACTCTTAATATTTGCGCTAAAGACATTCGCATTGTTTTATGCCCTAGAGGAAGTTAAAAACAAGAGCTTCGGATACATCTCCAGAATCTACAGCCTTAATCGCGACTTTATAGTTACTGAGATCGCACAAAAGGACATTACTAAATCTGACTTATACCTGTAACATATATTTGATAAGTAAAATATAACGAGAAACGTGTAAAAACACAAAGAAACGCTATAGTCGAGTGCCGCGACTATAAGATACCTGTTACTGTTTTACACAATTATAAATTATTCATTTTGCTATTGGAAATTCCCAAAGCGACATTGTAGGAGACATCTTGTTGGATAACTGATAGTGACGTCACTGCCCATGTGAGGCCTTATAACTTGCATTTCTTCATAAATAGCGAAATAATGTTCCGATTTGCAAAATCTTTGATAAATCGATAGATATTGATAAAAATATGTTATACAAGATCAAACGAAGACTTACACTATAATATTATGGACGCCACCGTATTCCGCGGTTTATGGGCGTTAGAGTGGGCGTGGCCGGATGAAAACTGGGAGCAAGTTGCAATGGCATCTTTTAAATACGTATTCTTAAGCACAACTTTATACCTCTTATAGGTCCCGAGATTTTGGAATTTTTAGTTTTTCGGGTTTTGTGGGCGGTTAGACCTACTTGTTTAACTTAATTTTTTAATTTAATTTCCTAGCACTTATAGTTATCGAGACATAAGCTTTTCTAGAAAATGCGAAAACCGTCTTTTCAGCTTGGTGGGCGTAAGAATGAGTGTGGCCGGATAATGATTCCACCATAAGATGCGCTGGCATCTCAAGATTGTACATGGTGAATTTCTAGCTCTAATAGTTCCCGAGATTTCAGCGATTTTAGTTTTTCTTGATTTGTGGGCGTTAGAGTGAGCGTGACGGGATGCTAAAAAAAAATAAACTTGCGCTGCGTAGGGACCTGCAGAATCTTCATGCTTAATCTCATCTTTGTATCTGTTATAGTTCCAGAGATTTCAGCGTTCATACGGACGGACGGATGGATATGGCTCAATCGACTTCGCTATTGATCCTGATCAAAAAAATATATATAATACTTAAGAGGTCGGAAACGCTTCCTTTTATCTGTTACATACTTTTCAAGGAATCCAGTGTACAATTTTACTCTACCAGTAACGGGCATAAAAAGAAGAAACGCTTAGCCCTAACAAACCGATTGCTCTATTAAGAAATTTTAAAATTATTTCGCAGATAATAAACTCTATAAGTACTGTGTTTAATATTTTTTAACCATTTTGACGAAATGTTATATGGTTGTTATTTTCTTAATATAATAATATCGTAAAGTTGGCATAATAATACTACCGGTAAGTAGGATACCACTCCCATATATTAAAAGTAAGGAAGAAAAATTCACTAGGCCAATATTCTGGGAGTGCCTTTTCAACAACAAAGAAACTTAAAAAGTTTTGTTTGCCATTCAATAATTACGGTGTAAATATCATACAGTTTTACAACCATATTGATAATGCTGCATTTGTAAAATGATTAACGGTAAAACTCCTTTTCTTAAAAATAACTTTGGAGTAAATTACAAAATAGACGGGGTCAACTAATTTTACTAACCGATATAAAATAAATCAATATCCTTCCCTATGAGGTTTTGTAAGCTCTGTAGCCGACTGAAATTATAATGGAGAAAGCATATTTAGTAAATACATACCTGTGAAATGTTATTCATTGAAATAGGTGTGAAAAAATGGGTGTGTATTAAACTGGTTAAACTTCATGGGCTGAAAATTTCTGGCTAGCTCTGCAGAGCAGAGAAGTGCTATTAACTTTTGCAGCATAAAAGGAGATAAAGCCCTTTCCCGGAAAGGGAATATTTGGCATTTTTTAAGGAATCGAAAAATCGTACACTTATATTTTATCGGGAGGGGTTACCTTGAAGGGTAAAAAAATTAATTCAGAAGAATAAATAAAGATATTTAATTTTACAATTTCACCTTCCTTTTTGCTCAAAATTTAACGAAAATTTTGTTACCTTTTTGTTTTGAGTTGAAATAACGCCTAATTAAAATTTACTTTCTTTAGTTCCATTTAATGTTCTTTAGGTGAAGTGATCGCAGTTAACCCGACCGATGCCGGAGATTTTAGCCATACATATGCCCCCTTTATATCCAGAATATATCTTATCTCACTGAATATATGTTTGCGGGGATATTTGTATTAAATGAGATTGAGTGAAAATAAATAGATGTTTGTGAGAGCCTAGCTTAACATTTTCTGGTTAAAGTCAGGTCGCCACACTCGTAATACTGCGGGATCAATAAAAATTCAGGCAGGTCGTGTTTGCATGAGGATGACGACGCTGCCTGGGTCGATGTCGTTGCAGCTTCAGCTGCCTGACGTACAAGGTGGCCAACCTTTCCTGAAAACAGAAAAGGTACTCTTAGTGTATACTGTATTTGTGATATTACGTATGCATCCTACAACTCTTAAAAATTATGTTATTTTATTGTTAATAATTAAAGTAAGTAAGTAAAAAGATCTCCTGCTAATCGCGTTCTATTTTTCTTGACCAATTTTTCATATCCCATTTTAAAATAATAGAAATATTTTTTGACCATCAGATTTACAAGAGGAAATGCTCCGAATGTTTTCCTGTCACTTTTATCCGGAATCTCAGATCAAAAACGCGTCATCAATGTAAAATCGAAATTTAAAAAACTTTGTTGTTGACTATAAGAGCTATAAAGTTACGATCAATCATGCAGATTCTAAAGATCCGGTCTCCTCAAGTCTTCTGAACAAAATGTAAATATTTAAATAGGACAAATTATAGTTGCAATAGAAACGATTATTATATGTTATACAAGGTCAAACGAAAACGTACACTATAACATTATGGACGCCACAGTTTTTCGCGGTTTGTGAGCGTTAGCGTGGGCGTGCCAAGTTGCAGTGGCATCTCTTAAATACGTATTCTTAAGCACAACTTTCTAGCATTATAGTTCCCGAGATTTTTGGTTTTTCGGGTTTTGGGGGCGTGGCTTAATCGAAAAAAAACAATTCCCATAAGGGGCATCATAAAAATCTACATGCTTAATCCGAACACTCTATCACTAATAGTTACCGAAATATCAGCTTTTCTAGAAAATGCGAAAACCGTCTTTTCAGCTTGTTGGGCATATACCCACAAGGGTGTGGCCAGATAATAGTACCACTATAAGATGCGATTGCATCCACAGATTATACATAATTTCAACTTTCTAGCTTTAATAGTTCCTGAGATTTCAGTTTTTATAGTTTTTCGTAATTTGTGGGCGTTTGTGGGCGTGACAGGATTCTGAAATAAACTTCCGCTGTCTAGGAACCTCAAGAATCTTCAGGCTTAATCTCGACTTTGTATCTGTTATAGTTCCTGAGATCTCAGCGTTAATACGGACTGACGGACAGACGGACATGGCTCAATCGACTTTGCTATTGATCCTGATCAAGAATATATATTCTTTAGAGGGTCGGAAACGATTCATTCTATCTGTTACATACTTTTCAACGAATCTAGTATACCCTTTTACTCTACGAGTAACGGGTATAAAATGCCTTCGTTTGACTTTGTATAATTTATTTTTGTTAATATCTATCGATTTACCAAAGATTTTTGAAATCGGAATATTATTTCGCTATTTATGAAGAAATTTAGGTTATAAGGCTTCACATGGTTTGTGACTTCACTAGTAGTTACTCAACATGCTTTCTCTGACAATTGGTGGCGCCTTGTAAATTTCCACTAGCAAAATGAATATTTAATTTGTGTAACAGTAACTGGTATCTTATAGTCGAGGCACTGGATTATAGTGTTTCCTCTTGTTTAACCTTAGTCTCAAGTGCCTAGCACTAACATTCTTCAAGATTTTAGAGTTGAATCGGATTTCCCGTAATGACTAGATCGACTTGGCTAGCGAGACCGACTAAGAAGTTATATATATAAAAGAAAATGAATTCAATAGATACATTTTACATTTTGTCATCAGATTAAATTATACGTTATACCAAAAACTTTGACTAATAATTACCCAAAACATTTGCATAATGAAAGCGTTCATCTAATTCTTGCAGCACTGACAAATCGCGGTAGCGTGCCCAGGCATTAAGTATGTCTGCTACTTTAATGGGAACCAATTCAGATTTAGCTTCGACTTTCTGTAAATAATGAGAATTTATAGTTTCCTAGACTGTAAGTTATATCTATAACCAAACCCGTATAAATTGCACTTTGAGCTGTTGCTGAGTCACCATTTCGATTAGTCGCTTGAGTTTGCGGTGACTTCCCTGCCGCTTTGAGATGTGAATAAAGAGCTCCTTAAGATTAAAATTGCAATAAGCATGTGGTCGCAAGTTCAATTGTTTAAAATAGTCGTGCAGTAGTTCACTATCATAGGTCACGTGTAATTTGTTTAGAGCCTGCACTAGGTTCTCCTCGTTACACATTTCTCCCGTAGACAAAATAGCCATCAGCGGTTTAGTCCGATAGTTTTGGTTGAATAGCTGTATCCGGTCGGATTGATTAATAAACAATTTAACACCAAATCCGCGAACTCACCTGCACACCGTTTAAATCATTGTCGCACGTAATTAATTTTGAGTTATAGGGTAAACCAAAACTTGGTCCGGTAGCGATTTCGGTTGCTGATGAACTAAGCCAACCGGCGAACATACTCCCTTCAAAGAATCCTTGCGACCCGCTCCGACAACGCATCTGGTCCACCCGCGCATAAAGGGAAAGGCTACTGGCTCGTCCAATGGCGTGTCTGGGGCACGCACTCGGCTCGACGACTTTGCCGATGGTGCTGGCAAGAAACTCCTTTTCCAGACAGTCTAGGCAGTTCTCCTCATTATTGCCCAAGTCAAAATGGGTTGAGTACGAGGACTGCGGGACAATGGACACAACAGCCGCAGTAGTCACCAGTATGGGAGCCAATTTATCTTGCCTTGTCCGCGATTCTGATTGCTGCTGCTGGCATGATAGCATCGACGATGACCGAAAATCAGTGCAACTGTAGCAACGTTCGTCAAAAGTGGTCGACAGGTGCGAGCCGCGCGACTTATATGCGGAGCTACTCTTTGACATCACAGACGAGGAGTGGGAGAGTCGCTTAGGTTTAGTGCCCGTCAAATTGGGCTCTGGATGTTCTCTGGGCACGCTAGTGCTTCGCCCAAAATTCGAGGCTGTAAACACTGTGTTGGGCAGGGAGTGAGACTGAGACGACTTTGCCGAATGTCCACATCCTGTGGGCTCTACCTTCTTTTCTGCGCCAACATGCATTATATCGTTTACGTTGGTGTTCACCATAGTTCCACGACTGCTTCCGTTCTTAATTTGGTCTAGATTTAAGTTGACGCAGGCGAACCTTTTACTAAGGAGTTGCTTTTGATGATCCTGCGGAAAATCCTCGACTGGCGAGCTGTGCAGATGATTGGCCTGAGTAGGCGTTCCCCCGCTCATCTGACTATAGTCGCGCTGCATTAGCAGTAAATTAGCCTGGGGCAGGACGCCCATATCTTGAGGCCTTCCAGGGAATTCCAGCTCCGAAGACGGATCCGGTTCGAAGTCCATTTCCAGGAACTCGTTATCATCGTCAACACATATGATGCGTCGACATAAATCTAGGCTGTGCCTACTTCTGCCCACGGAGATGATCTCCAGATTCATGTCGGATTCACCACGGTCCCCACGATAGGCGTAGACGCAGTCGTCGGAGTTTATCGATATATCCTCTGCGTCCACATCGCCGTCGTCCATGAGAATGAGATCGTCGCCGTAAAAATTGTCACTGGCATAGCTAAGGTTTTCAGTCGAGTTGACGGAGGTGCGGCTCGAGCTAAGACCGCAGGCAGTAGCTTCAATGGGCGAGAAAGCAGCGGCGGAAAGTCCGCAGCCAGCCACGTTTTGGCCGAACTCGCGGAAAGCAGTGCTTCCTATGTGCTGAGAATAAAAGGAAAGAAAGCAATTGTAAAATTTTTTGTGCACAGAGCGGTGACCGGCAACAGAATTACTTGCCTTATCATCACCCTGTGCTACCAGTATTTCTGCTGCGGAGTCTACTGCTTTACATTCGCCTTCTTTTCCAACTTCGTCAACATCATCGCCTGGTACTAAGGGCTGTGACGTTGGCGTTGCTGCTTGTTTTTGTTTCGTGCACATTGTTGTTCCCTTCCAACAGTCTATTTTTCTAAGTTGGATTTCGGGGTACAACACATTAGAACTGTCGTACCTATTGGTTGCCTTGCAATCAACTGGATTGTTATTATTTCTCGTGTGCAAACGCCAGTAAAACTTATTTATTTCACGAAAATACATTCCATTTGCAGACTATGCAGTGTTACCAGATTGTAAAATAATTTTGACACAAGTCTTTCAGACAAGCCTATCGTTTTAAATTATTTCAGCGATTATTTTGGAAGTTTGCTCTTTATGTATTTATTAGACAGAATTATTCTATAGTGTTTGAATAACCCTATTTTCATAAAAAACATCATTCATGGTTAGGAATTTTGTATAAAAGTTCTTATTTGGCTTTGGCTTAGGCTTTGGCCGCACTTTATTCTTCAAATCCTCCTTTGATTTACCTCTGGTTTTCAAAAGTTGGTTTAATATATATATGGAATTTGTGTTATCTAGATCTATAAACAATTCGATTTTTAAATAGATTTAATCAATCTTTTTAAATAAGCAAAAAAATCGATTCCTTAAAAAAAATCATTCTTTAAAATAAAAATTAAGTAATCGAAAAAATTATTTTAAAGTAAAATAACTCAAGTAAACTAATAAATATTAATCACTTCCAGAATCAGTGTGTGTTAGTGCTGAGGAAAAAAAAGAGAGATTGATAAGTATGTTCGTTTTTCAAATAAATAATGTAGATTGTTGTCTGCGCTGGATGCATAGTCACCAACCGCAGAGCATCCTTAAAACCCAAAAACGTAGACAAGCTTATACTCACAAATTAAAACCCACAAATTAAAACCCAGAGACATTGATCTCAAACAATTTTTTTTTACGAATTTTACTTTTCTTTTGCAACTGTAAAATCGGTGTTTTAAGCAAAAATGCCTATTTCATTAACATTTTTTTTTCGTTTTCGGTTTTAAATCGATTTAATCGATCTTTTTAAGAATTGAATCGAAAAGAATAGATTCTCAAAAAATAGAATTGTACATATGTAACTCATTATTTTTTATTGTATTTGTACTTTGTTAAATTTGTATTGTTTGAAAATATAAATCTATTTTTTAACAGAAAATTACAAATTTTATTATTCACTTTTAAATAAAAACGAAAAGAAAATAAATTAAAATAAAATTGTTTATCATATACATTATCGTGTCGATGGTCAAACATTGTAATCGATAGGTAAAATAAGTATTATATAAGAAATCTAGAATTTTTTAAGTCATTTGATCTCGTATGAATTTCTTGGCCCTTGAAGTGTGGGCTTACTAGTATCGGTACTGTGAATGCCGCGAAAAAAAAGCGCGTTTCATTGCCTTGTGAATCAAAGCTGTAAACAGTTTTACTTTTTGAGAATCGATTCTTTTTGATTTATTTTTTAAAAAGATCGAAAAATCGATTTAAAATTTAAAACGAAAAAAAAATTTTTAATGAAAAAGGCACATATTGCTTTAAAATGGTAAGGAAAACACCAAATTTACAGTTGCAATCAAAAGCAAAATTAAAAAATTTATTTGAGATCACTGTTTCTGTTTATGTATTTAAAAATCATTGGATTTTATTTATGAGTACAAGCTTGTCTACGGTTTTGGGGTTCAAGGACGCTCTGCGGTCAGTGACTATGCACCCAGCCGCAGACAGCCTATTGAAGACAGTAGGCATCTCAAAAGACCGCGTGGGTCATATCCTGCATGAAATTTTGGGCATGTTTTGCAGATCTCGAGAAAACTTATTTTCAGACGGGTTAAAGAAGTTGGAGCATCGCTGGGTCAAGTGTATCAAGCTGAAACGAGATAGTGTTGAGAAATTAATCGCTACTTTTCCAATATTTCCGTTTTTCTTTGGAGGCCACCGTTGTACAATACCTTCCAGACACAGCCTAGACACCGCACACCTTGTAGTTCCAGCAGCTGTCTTTAGAAGCAACAAGGTACATTTTTATAGATCAGAACGCTGCAGCATCCAATGGCCATCTCATCGTTGTCCTTATTGTTCCCTTATGCTTCACGAAGTTGCCCTGGGGATCGATCTCCTTGTTCTCCGTGTTGCCTTGGCACTGGCTGACCATATAGTATTCCTTGTCGTAGGCAGCGATTTCCAAATCCAGTGACACCTTGATGTCCTGGTACTCCTGCTGTTGATGGGTCATCTCTTCGCGCCGTCGAATAAGCTCCTTTTCCAGCTGAGCACCTCTTCGCCGTGACGCTCGCGAGTGTTATCTAGTTCCTGCTCCAATTCAAGTACGAGCTCAAAATCGTGAGTCTTGGATTTTAGACCATCAATTCGAATACGAGTTAAGCGCAACTCTCCGATGGGCTCGACCTCGAACTGTTGGCTTGGACGACCCAACTCCTTGGTCTTATCGATCAGTTCATCAGTAATCTTCTTCCGTTCGGCATTGGCCATGTTGTCTTTGCTCAGTTCATTAAAACGCAACTCGTACATGCGGGCATTTCCCTCAGCAGTGCTGCACTCCTTGGTTTTCTTGTCCAGACGGTTCTTCACCTCCTTTTTCTCTTCCCACAGACGCTTGCTATCGATCTTGCCACGAGCACGATCCCTGACCGTATCACCCAGAAGACGACGCGTCTCCAGCAGCTCAGCCTCGATTCTGTTCTTCATATTGGTCGTCTCGTGGGTGATCGCGTCGCTCGTAGTCTGCACCTCAATGCTGAGGCGGGAATTCTCTGTCTCCAAGTTATGCACACGGAATCTCAGGAAGCAGGAGACCACTGATGAAGCGGCCACACGAGGTTTTCCTATGGTGCAACCATCGTCAGAAACTACCCATCCAAAGCGCGTATTCTGCACAAGACGCAGACCGTATCCTTGTTTGATATGCCCAACTGAGAGCAGATCGAAAAACTGGCTGGCTCCAATCAGCAAATCCACACGCCGCGCTCCGTGGAAGTTGGGATCTGCCAGAACCACATTGCCAGGAACCTTCCAGTTAGAGACATCAATGTTCTGACCAGGTTGACACTCTGCGATGTGAGACGCCACAACTGTGTCAATGCATACCGAATACGTGGATATGCGAGACTTCAGACAAACATTAACCGATGCTCCATACGTACTGACTTCAGTGTCTCCAAGGCCAGTCACTGCTATAGAGCATTCGGACCTATAAAGCTGAAGTTGGCTGGCCAACCGCGATGTGATGAGTTAAACTGGATAGGGGGAATCAAATAGCCCTCGGCAGGGAAGGATGTCTCCTGATCGGCCACGAACGAGAATGTTGACGGTTGGTAAGAACACTGCTTCAGCGTGGCTGTTCTGGGTCACAAAGGCGTTAGCTGGTGGAGCCCGAGAGGTCGCAACGCGAGCGCCTTTGGCAGGATCCACGCAAGGCTGTAACAGAACATGATGTCGGAGAGTACACGTTGGGCAACGGGAAGATGAGCATCCACAGGCTATGTCCTCAGACTTGTGGCAAATGAAGCAGAAGGCAAGACGTCGGACTTCATCGTATCCTGCATACGCCAGGATACCGCACAGGGTACACGGAGCGGGAATTACGTCAACTGTCCGGAATAGGCTGTCTTCCGTTTCGGTTCTTTGGTTTGTAACTCAATTTGTGTTTTTGATAAATATGAACTGCCTTCTTTTGGTGTCGTAATAAGACTGATTTTTATTCTCGCTCTGAGAACATATGAAAGCTAACTTTAGAGTGGTGGTAACCACCACAGTTTCCCAGTTGTTTACAAGACTCAGCTTAGGGATTCCGCTGCGTCGACGGTTCGATGTCCGTGTTGAACGGGACCACCGTTAGTGGTCCGCTGGCAGATTCGGAGCTAAGGCCAAATGCATAGTCTCAAGTGTACGGCATCTTTGTTCCAAAAACCGAACCATAGATACCCAAGTTGGGAGGCTGTTAGCACTGTTTCCTGCGAGAGAGTCTTCCCACTTCGCCTTTGTGGCAGGGTTCAGTTTTTGATAGACGATCTGGTTGAGGAGGAATCCGTGAATTTCGTCCGCCATCCCGGAACTCATGAGAGCCCGCTTATGACCATTGAATCGGTCGGATAACTCCCGATGAGTTGTAACGGATCCCGGTTCGACTACCCTTAGCTGCAGAATCTCGTTGATGTGAGCCTGAATAATTAATCGTCGATTACTGAAACGGTTGCGCAAAAGATCAAGGGAGACACCATAATTCGCGTCAGTAATCTCCAACGCTCTCGCAGTCTCCAAGGCTGACTCCCGCAGTCATTAAATTAAATGAGCTTCTCCATCTTGGTCAAGTGAGGATGGCTTTCAATCGTCGTTGTAAACAGGGCGCAGAAATCTGGCTACTCGGCATAGCCACCGCTGAATGTTGGCATCGGCAACGAGGGAGCAGCTACTACTTGGCAACTTCCACCTGGATGTCGATGTGCACGTCCGTAGCCAGCTGAGAGAATTTCCAATACAAATCACTACCGATTTCACTATAATTCATCTCGTCCAATTCTTCCTGAAGCGTGGCAAATCGGTCACGCAGAAGCTTCGCCATTGTTTTGAGGGTCATAATGGTGGAGTCCTCAGTCCGCATCGCATCATTGACCTTCTGATGCAGGGCCTCCATTTCTTTACAGGTCACTTCTGCTCGTCTCCGTAGCATCCCCTCCCCGCTTGCAGCAGCAGATCCAGCGGCGTCAGCTCCAGACTCCATTATGAAATGTATTTAAGTGCACGGTAATTACAACAAAAACAACATGTTTCCGTGGCACTTTATAATTGATTACAATATTCCAAACGCGCTGTAATCACGTCGGAGTCACCAAAATGTTGAGCAACTAAGAGTTTCAGTTGCTTTAGGATAAATAAATCGAGGGAGTTCAATTTTCAAAATTTTATTACGAGCTCAAATCAAACCAATTAACTCCGCAACAAAACGAAGCCGAATACATTAAGTACAGCTTAACAACAGAAGATTCTAGCTGGAGCAGTTCTACAAAGCTCCCAAGAGCGCATGCGCTGCAAAGTAACAGAAAAGCGCATGCGGCACTGAGATAATAAAAAAAAATTAGAACATGCTGATGAAACCGCCGCTGCTCATCCGTATTCGCTTTGGTTGCTTGGCCCAACATCTTCCCCCCGTTGAAGGCTGACCCGTCAACAGAATCCTTGAGGGGCAGCAGACACAGCCTAGACACCGTACGCCTCGAAAGACCGCCTTCGTTGATCAAAACGCTGCAATTGCCAGTCTCCAATGGCCATCTCATCGTTGTCCTTATTGTTCCCTTATGCTTTACAAACTTGGCCTCGGGAGAGAACTGCTTATTCTCCACATTGCCTTTGGCACTAGCTGACATATAGTAGTCCATGTCGTAGGCAGCGATTTCCAAATCCAGTGAGACCTCGATGTCCTTGGTACTCTCTTCATCTCTTCATGCAGTCGAACAAGCTCCTTTTTGAGCTGAGCCACCTCATGGCCGTGACGCTCGCGAGTGTTCTTTTCCAGAAGGTTCTTAAGCTCCTCGTTCTCCTTCCACAGACGCTTGTTATCCATCTCGCTATGGGCACGATCCCTGACCGTATCATCTAGAAGACGACGCGTCTCCAGCAGCTTAGCCTCGAACATGTTCTTCATATTGGTCGTCTTGTGGGTGATCGCGTCTCTGGTGGTCTGCACCTCAATGCTGAGGCAGGAATTTTCTGTCTCCAAGTTATGCACACGGACAATATAGGTAGCCAGACGATCGTTCAGGTTCTGCAGCTCAACCTTCTCAGCCACGCGAGAGTGGCAAGTGTAGCTCGGGAGGCTAGAGACCGCTGGTGAAGCGGTCACACGAGGTTTGTCTGTGGTGCAACCATCTCCAGAAACTACCCATCCAAAGCTCGTATTCTGCATAAGACGCAGACCGTATCCTTGTTTGATATGCCCAACTGAGAGCAGATCAAAAAACAGGTCGGGTCCAATCAGCAAATCCACACGCCGCGCTCTGTGGAAGTTGGGTGTTCCAGAACGATGCTCTGCGATGTGAGACGCCACAACTGCCTCAATGCATACCGAATAAGTGGTCGCCTATTCACCACTTCCACGACTTCAGGCAAAAATTAACCGATGCTCTATCCGTACTAACTTCAGTGTATCCAAGGCCAGTCACCGCTACTGAGCATTTTTTTTCCAACCGACCGAGGGGCGCTGCCGTCTGACGTACGGCTCGGAACACGGGGATAGATCCGAGTGGATTAGTAAAGATACGAGGAAAGTTAGTTTTGTGCTAGAAGAGTTAGAAGTAATGTTATAAAGATCATTGTAGTTTGAACATAGTACCCGAAATGGTTCATGTTGGGCAAAGTTCGAATTACAATGCTTTAAGGATAGAGGAATATAGTTTCTAGTAATCCTAAGGGGTACATGGATATTCAAACGGCCTAGAAGGGCCTGGCCATCAATTTCACCCTTAAGAAGATTATGGATAAAGACGACAACAGGCATCGTCCTACGATTAGCGAGGGATGGCAAATTGATTGGTAAGAATGTACTTTTATAAGAGGGAAGGTGTATTTTTGCATCCCAGTTGAGAACGCGGAGAGCAAATATTAAAAAATTCTTTCTTTTCCAGAATCGGACGAACTGAAGAAATAAAAAATTATTAAGGTAAGATTTCAATTTCACCTGGTAGGAGGCATCGGTATATTGCAGACAGAGTTTGACATCATCTGCATACATAAGTACTAGGGAGTCATTAACAACCAAGGGATGGTCATTAATGAATAAAGTAAAAAGTAACGGACCAAGATGGCTCCCCTGAGGGACCCCGGAGGAAGCATAGACTAAAGCAGACACTGAATTTTTAAAAATAACTCGTTGTGTTCTACCCGTTATTCACGGATTCAAATGCTTTACTGAAGTCAGTGAAAATGACATCCGTCTGAAGTTTATTTTGGAAACCAGTGATCACGAAGGATGTTTGTTCCAGAAGATTGGTAGTGGTAGACCGTTGCTTCATAAAGCCATGCTGGCAAGTGAGGCACAAGAATTTTTTCGAAAAGTTTCGGAATTGCTGATAGTTTAGATATACCTCTGTAATTCTTAGCATCCGATTTGTTTCCCTTCTTGTGAAGGGGAATAATAAGGGACTCTTTCCAGATAGCGAGAAACGTGGACGTTTCCATGGAAAGGTTAAATAATATTAAAAGGGGTTTGGCCAGAAAAGCAGAGCAGTACCTAAGCGCACAGCCCGGTACCCCGTCTGGACCTGGCGAAAAGACTGGCTTCACATTCTGAAGATCCTTTATAACCCCACATTCCGACAGTCGGGAAATAAAGTTAGAACGGGGGATATCATAAGCGTGAATCTGCGCGTTTATTAACAAAGGTGAATAGGGGGTTTGAAAAAACTGCAAAAAGATCGGTAATTTCCTGATCCGTGCTTGCAGTAGATTTTCCAAACGATATCAAAGACGGAAAGGTTTTAGATTTACGCTTAGTGTTAACAAAACTATAGAACTGTTTCGGATCCAGATCAAACTGGTTCTTACATCGAGCTAAATAGTTCTTATAGCACTGAGCGTTATGCACGGTAAAGTTAGACCGAGCCACCATATAATGCACATAACAGTCATTGCTATTAGTTCTTAAGTATTTTTTAAATAATATTAATTTAATATTTTTTATATTAGATAGGTGCCTTGTATACCAAGGGGGTTTATCCGCCATAGCCGGATACCGCAACGGAACAAAGCGATAAAAAATTAGGTTTAATGTACTATAAAATATATCTAGAGCAGTCGAAATATCGGTACATGCGTAAAAATCGGACCTGTCAAATTCTGAAATAAAGTTATTAATTTTATTTAAGTCGGCTTTACGAAAACATCAAGTTTTCTTATCAGCGTAAGGCTTAGTACATAGCCCCATATGGATTAAAAGATCTAATGGTGGATGATAAGGATCTTCAGGGTGTTGGAGAGGTGGAGCTCTGTATATGGACACGGCGTCCGTATCAGAGAGAAAGCACAAATCGAGCGAACGACCTAAAGAATTCCCTATATGATTAGTTTGAGCCAGTGACATGTCTAACATGCCAGCAGTAAAGTCGTGATGCGACGTAGGTGTTAAAGCTAAGGTGTTATCGTTCATGGACCAAGCCACCTGGGGTAGGTTGAAATTACCCAACACCACAAGCTGATCCATGTCCTATAACATTGAGAAGACAGAATGAATGGCTGCTAGGTGCCACTCATATGTCAAGGAATCGGACTTAGGCGGATTATAAGGGCAAGTGATATATAAATTTAGCCTAGACAATGAAATTTTAACTGTGATAAATTCTAAGTCTCCAGTTTGAAGATTTATCACCTCGGAAACGAGAATAGAGTCCACTGAAATAGGACTCCACCACCATTTCCGAGGGATCGGTCAAGCCTATATATTGTGTACCTACTGGGGAAAACTTCAGAATTAAGAATTTCTGGAGTTAGCCAGGTTTCGGTAAACACAATGACCTGGGATGCAAACTAGAAGCTTACCGAGAACAAATTAGAAAGCTTAGAGCGTAAGCCTCTTGTGTTTTGGTACGAAAGAATAATGGATGATGTTAGTTTTTTAGGTTGGCAGGAGCGTTTTTTTGTGGAAGCTTTACTCCTAAAGGAGCTGATGTTATTGAACGAAAATATTTTGCGGCCAGAAATTGGTCGAACTGATATCGTCAAAAGCCATCGGAAGAACACGGATCTTAAAAGAGGCCATGTTCCTGGCGTAGGAATATTTATGCTTAGTGATATTTTCCACCCTAATATCGACTATTAGTTTTGCTTAAATGTAAGCTAAGTTGTCCGATTCGGACGTATTGGGGGAAAGCCGGGAAACAAAAATGTGATTCTCTAGAGGAATACCAATATAGGGCTTTAGCGGGGCGGGTGGTTTACCCACGCTACCAGTGGGTGCCGGTAAACCGGACCCTAAGTTCCTCTGGTGAGTCAAGGCTTGTAGAACATTTGGCACGGGAGGGTCCAATGAGACTACCTCAAACTGCTCATCGGACAAATGTCTACGCACCTTAGCAACATTTTCGGGATCAGAAATATGGGCTGTTACCAGTGTCGTCAGGATTGGAGTGGTGGACGGAAGCGATGACAATGAAGGCGACTGTTGAACATCAGACGGAGGGAGAAGGGAGTTATTTGCATTACTGGCGGTAACCAGCCGCTTAGGAGACTCATTCAACAGTTGTAAATTGTTATAACTATCCACTATCATTTTAATATGTTTATTTTGCTAGCGGAGATTGACGAAGCTCCACCTTTTGGCAAAAAAAGGGTGATTGTTAACTGATGGTCACATCACTGCCCATATGAACTCTTATAACCTGAACTTCTAAATAAATCGCGAAATAATGTTCCGTTTAAAAAAGTCTTTGCTAAAACAATGTATATTAAAATGTAATGCAAGATCAACCACGAACATAAATTTTAATATTATGGACGCTAAAGTTTTCAGCGATTTTTTTGCGTAAGAGCGGGCGCGGCCGCATGGAAAATCACTTTAAGCTGACCGGATAATGACACACTTAAAAAGCCACGGTCAAGCTTAGGTGATGTCTTGTTCGAACCTAAATGACAGCTTCTGGGGTTGGTAACCTCGTGTTTTATGACAGAATCCTAGAATTGTACACAAAGCAGGTGAATAAATTTTTATTTTAAGTGCCGACTGTCCGTTTCACCAGGACAACGATCTGATGCATTCAGCAGGCATTGTCAACTTTTGGGCTATCTGGAATTTTCCTAATGTGGTGATTTCTCCAGCTCAATCACCAGACTTCATTGTTAATTGTTAAAAAATTTTGGACCCGGCTATTCGTAAGATAATTATTTCCGGCTATTCGTAAGATAATTATTTCCACTAAAATCGGAAAAGATGGCTTTTGAAGAATGTCAAAGAATCCCTATTATTATCCCTTCAATCAATTTGAAGTGGTGATCCCGATCTCATGGTAAAAATGGTACATTATTTAAAGTTTAAAATAAATTTTATATTTTGTGCCTAATTATACGTTTTAAATGCATAATGAATAAGAATTGAAAAGCTGAAATTCAGGATGGGTCATGTTGAGTCTTATGAAGATAAAAATATGTATTTTCGATCATTTTTTCTTTACTCAAAGCAAATTGGAAGAATCCAGCCGTCTTTCGCTAAGAAAAACTTCTCTCGAAATCGAATCAAGGAACTTGTTTAAGTAAATATTAAGTTCATAATAAGCTCGAATCCACGGTGTAAGAGTAATTTATTTTAAATCATAAGACGCCAATACACAATAAGAGAGGTAGTTAGAAGTTAAATTAACTGAAAATGTAATAAATACAAAAACTCATACACTTTTAAAAAACTACTCGTATACTTCCGATCCATCATCTAACGATTTTCAAACAACAAACTATAATAGGCAGATTGGATTTTATTTAATAACATTCTTAATACTGCTTACACATTTAGTCAACATGAACTTGCTTTCCGCATCGTTATCGGCTATTTGAGTTTACTTATCGGTATATTTTTAGAAGTATCTATTTCGGTTTTCCTACAAACATCAGATTTCATTTTTCGATTATATTATCCGTTGTTCCTAAGAACGGAATATAGAAACTTGGAATTCATTCTGGCTTCCTGCTTATTTTCAGCACATAATTTCACACTCTTATTTTTAAGTTCTTAACACAGTTATTATCAAGGTTTTCTGATTTTTTAAATTTAGTCTAATGGAGTAATACGTAGTCAATAAATTTATATTCTATATATAATATATATATTAAAAACTGTAACTTGTATTACAAACTTGCATAATATTAAAAGGATCATTTAAAATAATTCTTATGATATAAGTGATTTTTTAAATATATTAAATGTATTAAATAATTTTTGTATACGAATGTATTGACTTTTTTAGATATATTTATGCATTTTAAAACCATTAACGAAATACTAACTTTAAATAAAAATGTACTGATGTACAAAAGCCTACATCGGTGTTTTCAAAAAATCTTATCCACCTTAGAAACAGATGTAGGCTCTTGTCCATAGAGTGCCTGTCCTAATGATCTGCATTGCCATATCATCGACTCTGAACCCCACCAGCCTCCGACGAGTTCGAGGAGAAAGCCGACTGAAGGCTAGTCATGGATCCCTTGTAATTAGCCGAGCTCAGTACCTCGTAAAAGACATTCAAGTGAGCTCCCAAAGGGCTAAACCAGTGCATTAAATAACTGTCATTGTGGTGCATCACGTGCGAGCCCTGTACACTTTCTTTGTGATGACAAATCAATGTGGGCTCCTCTCGAAAATAATTAACTCCTTCGATGAAGTCCTGCAGGTCAAAGTATGAAACGGCCGAGTCTTTGGAAGAAAGAAAGAAACAACAAAACTGAAGAATTAACATTACGTGATAAACGAATTTATAAAATATATCTAGACCACTACATCGCCATATTTATGTTTCTGTGAGTAGGACCGGTTAATAAACCATGCAGATTCTAAATATATATCCGCAGAGTATGCTTTGACACACTTACTCTTACGCCGGCATAACTGAAAACGGTGAGATATTAGGATCTGTAGGAACTAGAAATGCGATTTTATGATCCGCTAAGCCCGTTCTAACGTCCAATAACTTCGAAAAGCTTTTACATTCATGGTAGAAGATTTATGTTTTGTTTTGACCGAAAATGATGTTTTTTTCAATACCTATGGTACCAAACATGTTCCATATGCGAATATTTTTTAGTTATTTATAAAAAAATGTAGGTCATAAGGTCATAAGGTCTCACAAGAGCAGTGGCATCAGTTATTAAACATGCTTTTTTTGGTTTTGAAATAAATTGCGATAGTAAAATTGTACAAAGGTCAATTTCTGCGAACAAAATTTTTATTTTACTGCTTGTTAACTCAGTCTTCTTCTTCTTAATTTTATTGAAATTTGGATTTCCTTTTAAGTCGGCTTTGTTTTCTTATTCTTTTGTCATTACAGCGAAAAGTATTGTGTATAGTGCATTTTTATTTATTGGGTTTTAATGCTCACCGTTCTTTTCCGGAAGCTTGGTGGTGATCCGATAAAGTGTAAAGTGCAGGTCGTTGCGCATCACATCAAAGTCCCAGGTGAGGACACTCTTAGGATCCTCGTTCCGGATGAGCAGTTCGTGCACAAATCCAGCCTTTAGCTCTACACTCTTGTACAGGTTTTGGTGATCGTGCTGGTCGATGGCGGAGTGTTGCTTAGCCGGAACAAATGCCTCGGTGGTGGCGGGCAGATTGATTGATACCTCGCCGTCGTGGTCATCCATCGAATTCGTCTTATAAAAAGATTTTGGAACCAAACCAGCCTCGTGAATCATCGTCTTTAAAAAGATGTCAATACGTTATAGAACTTCCTTTTGGCGAAGACAATTTGTTAGGACTGATCACTTTTATGAACAGGGCTTATCTGACGTACATATAAACTTGTGCAAAAAAAAAGGCATGGTTAAGCTGCGCACATGGGCTGGACACAGGGTGCATAAGAAATTGCACATCCAACAAAGTGTGGGATACAAAAGCGATGAGAAAACACAAAGGCAAACACAATTAGTCGTTACTTGTGTTTAAAAAATATATCGAGAGTAAGGGAAAACGAACTAGAGAGTAGAATGCTTACACAATCGCATTTTGGTAAATAACAATGGCTAAAGTATTTCTGACTGACTTTCTCCATATATGAATGGTGCTGGTACATTGTCTGAGTAGCCCCAGTATGCCGGAATTAATATCGGAACCAAAAGGGGAAAAGTTTATCCGTAGATTCAATTAAAACAAAAAATAGTAAGTACGTAGCTATAGATACACCAATAATCGATTCCAGACCGAAGCCCACTACCGGAAATCATGGCTAGCGTTTGGTTGCTTACCTTGCACGAGCCACCCAGAAAGTCCGGCACTATCTCTTCGTCAAGGTATTGGGCTAGTCCTTCTTTTATATGTGCGCAGTCGGGACCATAAAACAGAAACTTTGATCGCGTGTGGTCATCTGAAGAATTAAAAAAAATTAAATTCTAAAATCTAGGAGTTTGCGGTTGGCTTACCAATAAAAGCGCTAACAATGGTCCACGCAATCGGAAACACTCTCGGCGCCCGCACAACATGAACACGTCCCATGGTCTCTGGATAATTGCGTTCCACGGTCTCAGTGATGTAAAGAAGAGCTTTGATGCCTGGCCGCCACAGGTGGCGCATAGAAAGACCCTCCAAATCTAAGAGCAAGGACCAATAAAGTACAGGCTTTTCAAGGCGCTCAGCGGATTCATTGATCTTTTGAATGCCCTCCTCGCAGATGTGCAAGGCCTGGACCCAAAAAAATATTTTAATCAACAGGCAGTTTTGGTATAAAATAAGTTGTTTGTACCAATCGTAGAAGCCCGTCCATTCCCAGAGCCTTAAGCAGGCCTTTGACATCCAGGTGTCCCAATCTCAGAATGAAAATAGGCCGACCATCCTTGTCCTGGTGGTGCCAGCCACCTGGAAAGTGTTCTGCTACCACAGCTGGCTTAGAGTACTCCGATAACAAAGAGTCTATGTGGTGTTTCTGACGCCAGCGCAGCGAGTCGCACAGCATGACAAAAGCCTGGTTCACATGCCAGTCTCTGGCTGCTAAAAAACGCAGGATGGTCTGATAACTAGGCAAGCGTTCCAAGTCATCGACACCATCCAGCATTTTTCTCAACTCCAGCAACTTGGACTCTTGCATCGGAGATAGTTGCCCCAGGGTGCGAGTGATAAAATCGCCTTCAAGGAAAATTCTTTGACATTGAACTCGAGCTCGGTCCATTTGGGGTTTTGAAGCGTTGGCGGGAGATGTCCAACGTTCTACATGTGTAATGCCTTCCTCACGTAGTTGGCTGATAAAAAACTCTATTATTTCCTTTCCCTTAGTCGTTGTGTGGGTATACTGCTTCATGCCCATCTTTTCCATTGAATATTCGAAGCCAAAGAAGTTTTTTATGTCTAACGAAGCGGACTGGTCAAAGCACGTCCACTCAGAATTTTCTGGATGGGCGTAATAGCGACACCGCTCGAAGATTTCAATGCGTGACGAGAAACTTTCATTGACGGCCTCAATGCTTAGGGTGCGGTTTTCCATGTCCAAGACGTTGTGCTGAAGGAAGAACACATAATCCACACCTATCACTTTCTTAAAAATGTATGGCGCGTCCACCGCCAACTTGCAACGACGGCTCGTGTTCCGTTTTGACCCGTTCTCAAGGCATTCGTCCTTAATAACCTCACAGTCGACAACAATGGGCATTTGAGGGCATGTAGGAAACCGACGTTCATAAGCCTGCGAAAACAGAAACAAGATAGAGTTATACACTCATACATTTTGGAATACAAAATCGACTTTGTAAAAACAAGAGCTAAAAAGTTGGCATTAATTAAATAGATGGTGTTGGACCAATTTATCGTTTTTGATTTTTTTCTTGAAGTGTAAAGAGGGTAGCGAGACCTAATTAAGTTTTTTCACTCAGTCAAATTCGGCCACCGCTCTTCCTCTAATATATTATGAAGTACCATATAAAAAAAGTGAAATAAAAATGAATTTACTCCCTATCGCAAGCACACGTTAGGTGACTCAGTGACGTCACTGCTCATGTGAGGCCCTATAACCTACACTTCCTAATAAATGGAGAAATAATGTTTCGATTTTAAAAATCTTTGATAAATCAATAGGCCAAACGAAACAAGAAGAAACGCTATAATCGAGTGCCACGCCAATAAGATACCAGTTACTGCTTTACACAACTTTAAAATATTCATTTTGCTGGTGCAAATGGATAAAGTGCCACCTTTTGTCAAAAAAGCATTTCTATTAACCGGTGTTTTCGTCACTGTCAGTTTTCCGCGGTTTGTGGGGGTTAGAGTGCTTATTCGCTACTATCTGTCTCGTATATCGACCGATATAATAGCGTTCTTAGGGAATGAAAGTAGGCGAGGCCTTTTTACGGTACCACCTTGAGATGCGCTGGCATCTCAAGACATACATACTTAATGCCAACTTTCTAACTCCTAGTTCCTGAGATTTCGTCTTTTCTGAGTGTTTTAGTGGCCATTTGAAACCACCACTTTGAACTGCGTTGGTATCTCAAGAATATGTGCATTTACCCTAACTTTCCAGCTCTTATGGTTATACCTGTTACACTTAGATTAAAAAGGTAAACTAGATTCGTTGAAAAGTGTGGAACAGGTAGAAGGAAGCGTTTCCGACCCTATTAATTATATATATTCTTGATCAGGATCAATAGCGAAGACGATGGAGCCATGTCCGTCTCTCCGTCTGTCCTTATGAACGCTGAGATTAAGCATGAAGATTCTTGAGGTCCATACGCAGCGCAAGTTTATTTCCGAAGGTTTTTTAAAATCGAAACAAAATTTCGCCATTTATGAAGAAACGTAGTTTTTTCCGTGTTTTGTGAGCTCTAGTGTGGCTCATCATCATAAAAAACTACACGCTCAATCCCAAATTTCTATCACTTATAGTTACCGCTTTTCTACAGAAAAAAAACACGTCTTTCGACCTTGGTGGGAGTTATAATAATGGTACCACCATAAGATGCGCTGGCATCTCAAGGTTATAATTACTTTATCCCAACTTTCTAGTTCTAATAATTCCTGAGATTTCAGTTTTTCGTGATTTATGGATGTTAGAGTGGGCGCGGCAGGATGCTGAAATAAACTTGCGCTATCCCGGGACCTCAAGAATCTTCATGCTTAATCTCAACTTTGTATCTGTTATAGTTCCTGAGATCTCAGCGTTCATACGGACGGACGCATAGACGGACATGGCTCAATCGCCTTCGCTATTTATCCTGATCAAGAATATTCAATCTGTTACATACTTTTCAACGAATTTAGTATACCCTTTTACTCTACGAGTTACGGGTATGATAAAGTAAGAGGACCAGCAGCTGCAGTGCTATCCTCCTTTAATACAGTATTTAAGTTTTATGCCATACGCGGATTTAGATTTCGCGTACGCGGACAAAACTCCGTTATCAAACAAACAAAACAATTATGACACACGACGCAACCACAGCTGCCATTTTAAATGAGCAGTACAGAAATGACGCTTTACATGCGTTCATTCGTTCATCCGTTTTTCCGGCACAACCTCGGGACTTGCTATCAGCACTAGCATTAGCACAAGAAGCTGATTCATGTAACGAAAGCAGCGTTTTTGCGGCCACTTTCGCCAGACACAATGAGGAGAAAGCATACAAGCCGAACCACCAGCGACAAGCACGTTGGAAAAATCCCCAAAAATGAGCCCACAATAAGAATGGTTCCTTTAGACAGAGACCATACATAAACTCAGGAATTTATCAGGGTTAACCAGCTCCAGAGCCAATGGAGGTCGACCCCTCTTCTAGAAGGCTATTTTCTCGGCCCACAGCATGGCAAAAAGGGCAGTCAACTACGCAACAAAAGATGAACTTCATAACAGAGGAAAAATCTGGCGACGAAGATTATGACACCGTTGCTCAAGCCTGTGCCACTGAAATAGAAGACGATCTTGATTAGGAATATTCGTATAATTTTTTAGAATAAAATCCCTGCTCCCCTACATTACAAGTACGGTAGCAGGAAGAGAAATAAAAATACTGAACTAAAAATACCGGGACTGAAAGGCATCGTGGCAGCGCAGAAACCATTTACGGTGAAGTCAATCCATGGCTTTACCAAAATAAATAAAAAATGCTTAGTTTCGGTGCTTAGAATTAAAAACACCCTTTTCAATTCTAAATAATTTTAAAGAATTCGATGGTATTATCGGCCTCGACTTGCTTAAACAAGCGAATGCGAAACTCGATTTTACCGGGAATGTTCTTCACACAAACAACGGAGATGAAAAAATCCGATTCACTACGGCAGAAAACGTCAACTTTATTAAAATTAATGGCGAAGATGTCCCCGTAGCAATTAAGCCACCTTTGATAAAATGATTGTTAAAAATCATAAAGCCTTCGCTGATCCAGACGAAGCACTTCCATTTAATATAAACACTACAGCAACAATAAAAACTGATGGGGAACCGGTGTACTCCAAGTCGTACCCACACCCCATGGGTTTAACCGAATTCGTCAATGCAGAGGTTAAACAATTTGTAGCGGACGGCGTAATAAGGCCATCCAGATCCCCATATAACAACCCTACGTGGGTTGTAGATAAAAGAGGTATAGACCAGAATGGGGTTAAGAAGAAGCGATTAGTTATCGAGTTCAGAAAATGAAACCAGAAAACAGAAGACGATAGATATCCTATCCCTAAAATTTCGACAATACTGTCGAATATAGGCGAGTCACAGTATTTCACTACACTCGACCTCAAATCAGGATTCCGCCAGATAGAGCTGGCGGAACAGGAAAGGTAAAAAACAGCCTTATCCATAAATAATGGCAAATACGAATTTCGTAGAATGCCATTAGGACTTAAAAACGCCCCAATGGGTTATCGATGACGTCCTTAGAGAGGGAATCTCAAATATATGCTATGATTATGTAGACGACGTGTAGGATATTATTCTCAAAAACAAGAACGTGGACTGGCTTTTAACCAAGCTCTTAGAAGCAGGCATGAGAGTATCCCAAGATAAATCGAAGTTCTTTAAAAAGAGCGTCGAGTATTTAGACTTCATAGTGTCACAAAGGGGACTCACGCGCCCTACGTGACAGCGAGAAAAATTACGCAATCAATGAGCGAGAGCCCCTTGTTTGGGCACTTAAAAACCTCCGGAATTACCTATACGGAGCAAAAGTGTTGCAGATCTTTACCGACCATCAACCACTTACCTTTGCCGTCTAATAAAAAAATCCCAATGCAAAGCTGAAGCGTTGGAAAAGTATTATTGACGATAATGGTGCAAAACTGATTTATAAACCAGGAAAAGAAAATTTTGTGGCAGACGCATTATTTCGCCAAAACATTAACACCCTAGAAGATGGAAAGGAATCGGACGTAGCCGCCATTCATAGCGAAGAGTCCCTGACATACACCATCGAGACAACTGACAACCCAGTCAACTGCTTCCGAAACCAGGTAAACAAAAATAGGACCTATAAGGACTATCGGGTAGGCGAAAAAGTTTTTCTAAAAGCGAATAAAAGACTGGTAACAAGCTCTTACCACAATGTTCGGATGAAACTATTGAAGTAGGCCTGGGGACAACGGTCTTAATTAGAGGGAGGGTGGTCCACATAGACAATCTACGCTAACCATCCTTCGCTGGACTCCCGACCATTTATACCTTTTTATATTTTTTATATCCACCTAAATTTTTCTATATTATATAAAATACTTTATAATATGGGGACTAATGACTGTTAAGTTGGACGCGACGGTGAAACTGAATGACTATACGAACACGGACTATTCCCTACAGAGGACAGTGACATTGTAGTCTGGGAATCTTTCGGATACCTACAACATGCAACGAACCAAACGGATACGCTAACGAGAACATTTACCGGATGTAGCGACGGACATCAGACTCATTCGCAAGTTGGTAGCTATCCTAAAAATCCATTATAGAGCCGCTAGGAGTATAATCTTAATTAGCTCCGACACTGGCGAATCTAAAGACAAACAGCCTATTAACATTAACATGATAGAAATTTTAGAAGTATCTAACAGTAAGAAGTATCTAGTGTTTTTCAAAATTCCGATATCACTCACATCTTGTTAAATTCCCTAATTCTAAGCTTGTTTGTAAGAAGATAACCGTGTATCCGGTCCAGTTAACATCATCTAAAGACCAAAGTCAAGGCCAACTCAAAAATTAACGATGACTTGGAACTATCGGGTTACCGGGACGGCAACCACATAAAAGGAGAAAAGTTAACAGACCCAGTTCCCAAATTGGGAAACTGCAGAGTCGCGGGCCACATCCGGTAGCCAACACGCGGAATAGGGAAATCGCCGACTCCGCAATCTGGGGACAATCACCCGGATCCCGGCCAGAAGTGGCCAACAGGCGTAATAAGAGCCCGGCAAGAAGTGGCCAACACGCATATTAAAGAAATCGCCGACCCCGCACTCTGGGGACAATACCACGCTTCCCGGTCAGAACACCTGCGCAGCGAGTGATCGTCAACAACCGGCTACCCAATGCTGATCCGGCACCTTGGCGACAGCGTTGCGACCAGACGAAGACTTCTAAATGCAGCCGGATCAGACCCCTAAGTTAGTCTAAATACATGCTCTGCAGCCATAGCTGTGTAACAATTAATTATTGTAAAACCATTTGTACTATCCTTTACCTTAACAGGTTTAGGGGAAATAAATAAGTGAAACTTAACAAACCAATTTATTATTTAATGGATCCTTGCCCCAACGCGCCTGAGTGAAAGTGAAAAATAATATTATGAAGGTCGGTCCAAATTAGCTTATATTACTTATATATTGTATAGATCGTTTACGTCACCAAACTAAAATCACTTAAACCTCGGGAACTGTATGAACTAGAAAGTTAGGATAGGAACAAAAAATCAAAATCGTCACGATCTCAGGAATTTTAAGAATTAGTACGTTGGGATTAATCATGTATAGTCTTGAGATGCCGCCGCATCTCAAGGTTGTACCATTATCTGGTACCATCTTAAGCCCACCAACTGCGAAAAAAGGTTTCCGCTATTTGTGGGAATGCTGAGATCTCGGTATCTATACGTGATAGAAAGTTAGGATTAAGGATGTTGTTTCCGGGAAGTACTGCGAAATATACAAAAAACTAAAATCGTCACGATCTCAGCAATTTTTAGAATTAGTACGTTGGGATTAATCATGGATTGTCTTGAGATGCCGCCGCATCTCAAGGTGGTACCATTATTTGGTACCATCTTAAGACCACCAACCGCGATAAACGGTTTCCACTATTTGTGGGAATGCTGAGATCTCGGTATCTATACGTGATAGAAAGTTAGGATTAAGGATGTTGTTTCCGGGCAGTACTGCGAAGTACAACAATACAATTTGAGTTTTTGTGTGACCAGGTATAACATTATAAATCTGTCTATCAATTTACCAAAATTTTTTTAAATCAGAACATTATTTCGAAATTTATATTTTATAGAAATGATTAATATTTATAGAAATATGTTGGTCATAAGGCCTCACATGTGCAGTAACCGTCAGTTAGTAAATATACTTTTCTCGACGGCTAGCAAACTGAATATTTTAGAATTGGATAAGACCGTAACAGGTATCTTATGGTCGCCGAACTCCACTGTAGAGTTTCTTCTTGATTTCCGTCAATATCTGTTGATGTATCAACATTGGTTTAAATTTGAATATATTTTAGTAATTTATTTTTTTTTAATTGGGTTATAAGGTCTTGCATAGGCAGTGATATCAACGTCAGTAATAGAATGTGCCTTACATGCACACAGCGTCCATTTCTGCTAGTCACAATATTTAAAATTTGTTTACCAAAGAGATATTTGCTTTAGTTAATGCTCTGCCATAAGACGAATTTGAGTGAAACCTTGATATAAGGGTCGTAGTTGTTAGCCATGTCTATATTCACAGGCTAAATAATTCAAAGTATTGTGTAAGACAGACCATTTTTGGCGAACCATTACTGGCATAGACAAGTTTTTCAAAAGGGGAAAAAGGTAGAACGGGAAAAGATAGATAGGATTAAGCATGAGGTTTGTATGATGCCCCATATGCGAAGGGTTTTTCCGATCAAGCCTAGCCCACAACATATCGCCCATACGTTTTAAAGAAATGCCACTGCAACTTGCCTCTAGTTTTCATCCGGCCACGCCCACTCTAACGCTCACAAACTGCGGAAAACTGTGGCGTTCGTCATATTATAGTGTAAAAAAATTCATCACTCATTTTACGGACCCGCCAAATGCGAAATAAGCTCTAAATTGCAAAACGAAGGTATAAAGAATAAATCTTAGGGCAAGTGGTCGAAGATGTTCCAGAAAGAAACAAAAACAAATTATATTGCGTTTGGCGACGGTATGGAAAACGAAAAATTGTTAGTGCAATATCGTCGCGAGCGCTCAAAGCTTATGGGGGAGCAAGTCCCTATGTTCCGAGCATTTACAAAAACAAATGAGCACTCAGAGCGTAGGCGATGAGCGCCCCTGTACTAGATATTACGCATTTTTGTTCATAACTGTAATTTTATGTATACATACATTTACATTCAAACACATACATATACAATGTTATATACAATCATGAAATTACAGAGAAAAGAAGAATCCAAAACAAAGAAAAATCAAACTTGAATTACAAATGTACACACCTTCATCACTAACTCAAATGGATATTTGTAAACGCGAACGGGTGACTGAAACTTTTGCACCATTTTGCTGATTTTCTTTGGTTCAGGTTGTACGCACAAGCCTTCTCACTGTTGAAAAATCAATATCGAGTTAAGATTATATGTCTTTTCGAATGTGTATACAAGAGTCCTTTTTTTAAATAAATATAATCAACTCCAAACGTACATATGTATGTATAGATTGTAGGTGTATTGGAAATCCGTTAGGGGTATTACGTCGCCCTGCCACGGAAAAAGATAAACCGTTTCAGTTCAACAACATACGTCAATAGTGTGACCTTCTTCTGCGTGTTTGATTTTACCCAAGTCTTTTAGGCGGAATACCAATACTGGTTTCTAAAATTTATGGATTACACTAGACGCTAAGCCACGCACTTAAATTGGCATGGTACACCGAATTCACATAAGCTTTCCCGTTAAATAGAATTCTCATGGGAATCGGCTCACCTTAACTAACTCTTAATATATATATAGTGACATATTCACAAATGCCGTTATGTACCAAGAAATAAGAATCTGCAGCGTAGGCGATCCCACGCTGAACCAATGTAAACAATCCACATCCGGAGCAGGCAATGCGGCTTCTCAATAACATAAACAATTCTTTAAATGACTAAGTCCCGCTCTCTGTGTGGCACTCTCACTCTCAAATTATTATGTACAATCAATATCCCAAGCGGGCGATCTCGTTCCCCAACTTATGTAAACAAAGGGCAGTAGGGCAGTATTTAGTCTTAAGCTGAGGTCATCTGAATAAAGACGCGAAGCTAAATATTCGTTTATTATTTCAACTTGGCGTTGTCCTTAGTCAATTGATGGGACATTAATTCGACTCAACAATCTTAAAATAACGGCGATCTAAAACAGATGGGAAAAAATTCCCAACAATAAAGACGCCGATAGAAATTTGTATGTTAGCGTATTGTATTTATACCCGTTACTCGTAGAGTAAAAGGGTATATTAGATTCGTTGAAAAGTATGTAACATATAGAAGGAAGCGTTTCCGACCCAATAAAGAATATATATTCTTGATCAGGATCAATAGCGAAGTCGATTGAGCCATGTCCGTCTGTGCGTCCGTCCGTATGAACGCTGAGATCTCAGGAACTATAACAGATACAAAGTTGAGATTAAGCATGAAGAAGAGGTCCTTGGACAGCGCAAGTTTATTTCAGCATCCTGCCGCGCCCAATCTAACGCCCACAAATCACGAAAAACTAAAATCGCTGAAATCTTAGAAACTATTAGAGCTAGAAATTCAGTATGTATAAACTTTCGATGACAGCGCATCTTTTAGTGGTACTATTATCCACCCACACCCACCAAGCTCAAAAGACGGTTTTCGCATTTTCAAGAAAAGTTGGTATCTTGGTAACTATAAGATATAAAAAGTTCGGATTAAGCATGTAGGTTTTTATGATGCCTCTTATGCAATTTTTTTTTCGATCAAGCTACGCCCACAAAACTCGGCAAACAAAAATGCAAAAATCACGGGAACTAAAAGAGCTAGAAAGTTAGGCTTAGGAAGATTGTTTGAATTGCGTTTGAAAAATTTTGAGATGCCACTGTAGTATTGCAACTTTTCACTAGTTTCACAAAAACCAGTCCGGCCTGACGGAAAACTATATTTTAAATTGATTATATTTTATATGAAATGCGCAAACAATACCCCAAAAAAGAAAAAAAAAAAAAAAAAAAAAAAAAAAAAAACCTTACTCTTGCACCTTGTATAACTTATTTCTGTTAATATCTATCGATTTACCAAAGATTTTTCAAATCGGAACATTATGTCGCTATTTATGAAGAAATTTAGGTTATAAGGCCTCACATGGGCAGTGACGTAACTATCAGTTACTCAACATGCTTTCTCTGACAATTGGTGGCGCCTTGTGAATTTCGACTGGCAAAATAAATATTTTAAAATTGTGTAAAACAGTAACGGGTATCTTATAGTCGCGGCACTCGACTATAGCGTTTCCTCTTGTTATACCCGTTACTCGTAGAGTAAAAGGGTATACTAGATTCGTTGAAAAGTATGTAACAGATAGAAGGTAGCGTTTGCGATCCTATAAAGTATATATATTCTTGATCAGGATCAATAGCGAAGTCGATTGAGCCATGACCGTCTGTCCGTCCGTCCGTCCGTCCGTATGAACGCTGAGATCTCAGGAACTATAAGAGACGCAACGTTGAGATTAAGCATGAAGATTCTTGAGTTCCCGGGACAGCGCAAGTTTATTACAGCATCCTGCCACGCCCACTCTAAAGCCCACAAATCGCAAAAAACTAAAATTGCTGATATCTCAGGAACTATAGGAGCTAGAAAGTTGAAATTCAGAAAGTATAATCTTTAGATGCTTGCGCATCTTATAGTGGAAATACTATCCGGCCACACCCACCCATACGCCCACAAGGCTCAAAAGACGGTTTTCGCATTTTCTAGAAAAGCTGATATCTCGGTAACTATAAAAGATAGAAAATTCGGATTTAGCATGTAGGTTTTTATGATGCTCCCAATGTGAATTGTTTTTTTCCGATCAAGCCACGCCCACTATAACGCCCACAAAACCCGAAAAACCAAAAATGCAAAAATCTCAAAAACAATAAAAGCTACGAAATTTTGCTTAGAAAGACGTATTTGGGAGGTGCCTGTGCAACTTGCCATGAAGTTGCATCCGGCCACGCCCACTCTTACGCCCACAAACCGCAGAAAACTGTGGCGTCTATAATATTATTATGAATTCCTTCGTTTGACATTGTGTAACTTATTTTTGTTAATATCTATCGATGTATCAAAGATTTTTCAAATTGGAACATTATTTCGCTATTTATAAAGAAATTAAGGTTATAAGGCCTCACAGGGCCAGTGATGTCACTATAAGCATACTCAACATACTTCCTCTGTCAATAGGTGGCGCCTTGTGAATTTCCACTAGCAAAATAATATTTTGAAATTTTATTTATTGTTTTTTATTTAATAAATACAGTCGAATTTATGCACTGGTTTCGTACGGTCGTGATCAGAGACCAGAGACCAGAGAGTGATCTCGAACTTTTTCTGTGGTGCTTATCTGCAGGCAATCTATTTTTAGACATCGCCCGCCGGTGTCTATACCGAGTTCGTCTAATTTATCACCCGAACGAAAGTGTAAGGGTTGTGTTCGACTTTGCCCATTGGACTACAACAACACCCGTAACTGACACCGTTACAGCTGCAAGTGCCAGTTCTGGCACCACTACGTACACGGTTGCAGCTTCTTCTCGTTTGAGTCCAGTTACTACAGCAAAATTGTCTTTGGGGACTAATAATTTCTTTACAGTACCTGCTATGGGGTTTCAAGCATCAAGTACCACGTACCAAGTACCCCTTCGCAGAAAACGAAACCCTCCTAACTGCAGCAAAGAACCAGCCGACATAAAGAAGAGCAAATTTAATGTAAACAAGGCCAGAATCGTGTGTTCAAAACAGGTTTCGAAGTCAATGGACTGAGCAACAACCATTTCCCACCTCTAGATGAGGAAATAAACTCTATTTAGAAGATTGAGGAGTCGTTTGATCCCAATAGTTTTAGCCAACCTGAACTGATGAAGCCGAAACCTCCGCCCAAATTTGTTCCAAAGGTTACTAATATCCTTTCTCTGGAACGAACCCTAGAAGAAATAATCCTGGGAGATAAGTATGAGATACGTTCATCCAAATTCGAAATTAATCGCAAATACACTGATAGTGCTGAGTCTTTCCGCAATGTAGTTCGTCGCTTGACTGACTGAACCTGGTACAGTATTATAAATGCCAAAATTTTGGACACACTCAAAATTGTTGCTTTATAAAGCCGGTTTGTGGGAATTGTGCCGGTGACCATCCTATCAACTCCAACTCGTGTGAGTCGCATCTCAACAACCAATGCTTATGTGCAAACTGCGGAAAAATCACCCTGCAGGTTTTAAGGGCTGCAAAGTTAGAATGGAACTCAGCAAAAATCTTAAAGCTGGAGTAAGTCTAAGGAACACAACGAATATTAGGACTAACGAAAGCCGACAAGGTCAACTTTTTTCGACGGGTGCTACCAAAGATGGCGTATCTTATGCAGATATGGCAAGAAATAGCATTCCAAACAGTAGCAGCGCTGCAGCTAGGCAGTCTGTTCCACATGTACCTGAAAATGACCGCAATCCAAACCGAAACTTGGCTACCTTGGAGAAGGCAATCTTTGATATAAATGCTCTTCAAGCTAGTTATGGAAACGATTGACTCAAACAAGGTTTTTTGTGATATAGTTCAGGTTGTTATTTCTAGGAAATGACAGTCTCAGCTATTAAAAATCGGATTATGGAATGCAACAGAAATAGTTACCAAAATCGAAGAACTTCGTCTTTTCCTTCTTGATAACTCAGTCGATCAGTCCTGGTTATGACCAATATTTTGCCAATCACACTAGCAACACTGCTAAAGACGGTTCTGCTATTTTTATCAAGACCAACATTACACACTCAGACTGACTCCACTTCGCGAACTGAGTACAGATAGCTAGTCTTGATATCCCAACAAATGTCGGAGTCCTTAAAATAGCTTAATTGTGAGCCAGTGAGCCTTGGACAAAGAACGATTTTGACCAGCTTCTAGCCCGAAATTCTTAGCTGGAGGTGACTTTAACGCCAAGCATCAATGGTTGGGTAATTTAAGGTCTTTTTGTCGAGGAAAGCGTCTTCAAGAGGCCATAGCTTCTAGCTGTAGTCAAATTCTATCTACTGGGGAACCCACCTTTTATTGTGCCAATACAAGGCTCACGCCAACAGGTCTTAGCTTTTTAATCGTAAATGGAATACAACTCAACAAACTCTCGGTCGAAACAAAATATGAGCTATCCTCGGACCATTTGTCAATTGTGGCAACGCTTAAACAAACTCGTTAATACAAGGTCAAACGGAAATCACTTCTACCGCACGGTTCCTCCGTTGGAAAGTTTAGGAAAACCCTGGACAGAAGCATAAATCTCTACACTGTTATTAACCATCCAGATGAGCTTGAAGATGCGGTAACGTTTTTTATGGAACAAATATACACTGCTGCGAGAGCTGCTACCCCAAGCCAAAGGCAACCTCCGGGCCAAAGTAGAAATTGGCTCCCACAAAATGCATTAGTGCTTATACAGTTGAAAAGAAGAGTTCGTCGAGAATACACAAGAACAGGAGATGTGCGCGTCTACAACTTTTACAAGAGACTTTCAAAGACCATATGTTGGAAAATGCGAGTACTGATGCAACGACTAACTA